CAAATATCGTAAATGAAATAGATTATAAATGACATTAAACTTTAGGATGTCCCACCAAATGACAATCTGCTACCTGAATTAACCTTGCTTTTAGGGATGCACCAAATGTTCAGCAACCAAAATTATTTGGCCGAAAATAGCAAAAAAAAGTTATTTCGGTGAATAAGCGAAAAGACCGAATAAATTGTACCGAACAATGACGTGACATGATCAAATATAGGTGCGCACTAATGTAGAAAACATGTCTGCATTTAAAGGGGTCATATGACGTTGCTAAAAAAGAACATTATTTTATGTATTTGGTGTAATGAAATGTGTTGCTCAAAACTAGCGTTTGAATCGTCTGTGGCAAATTCTTAAAATATGAAAGCATACTTACAGGCTGTGAGTCAGCATTATTTGTCAAAACACCGGCATTGTAGGCTACTCTTCCAGAACCGACAGCGAGAGACTGTTTACTGCATCGCATGTCTTCGATGAGAAGAGGAAAGGGTGGTTGTTGCTGGTTACTGTATGATGATTGAAATTAGTGTTGGGCGATATGCTCAATTTTCATATCGTCCTACCGCCAGCCTGTGAGATCGCCGATACACAATATTATCGTGCTAATTTATGTAATTATTTACTTAGTTTCACTGCGGGAAAGTGAACCAACTCCAGCGTAAGGCTAAAAGCAGCCTAATGTTTTTAATATGACTGAATTTATATTTAACATGATAACAAATTAATAGAAACAACGCAAGTTACTAATTATAATGCTTAACATTTCCTCAGTTATTCAAAAAGCAGCTACAAAAAACGAGCAAAGAACATTACATTACCAAATAACATCATCACAAGCTCAGTCTAGCGCGTTATGCACTTTAAAAACACTCCCGGAAATGGCCTTAAACAATTAGTAAATAAACTGCAGAATGTTATGGTTTCTAATGCATGCACGAATTGCATGTATTCAAACAGCGCTGCACGAGCTCGCGGCGCCAGGATTCAAAGTCCAAAGCGTGAGGAAAACCTGCGCTGAAACAGTGTGACTCGTCAGTTGCTCAGTAACATTTTTATGAATTTTTACAAGGCATGGATGTGACAATGTGATATGTGCAACAAACGTCGTCCCAAATTCTTAATGAGAATCATTTATAAATCTGCTGTTGTCAACCAAAAAAATCACTGAGGTCTTCCTGGGGGTTTCCGCCAAAATAAAAGCTCCATCAACATTCATAAATGTTAGTATTGTAATTTTACTGTTGTTCTGTAAAATAAAATAAAAAAGACAACAATAATGATAATAATAATTACAACAGCTATATTAGTACATTTAATTATTATAACATTCACACATAGTGTTCAAATCTGTAATAGATTTGTAGGCCTATCTGTGGGATCTGAAATATATTCTAATGTTTTAAAAGAATTCTCTTCTGCTCAGCAAAGCTGCATTTATTTGTACAGTAAACATGCCTGATTCAAGAAGGGGGTCTAAAAAAAAAAATATATATTTTTTTTTTTTACTAACATTAATTTTACATTAAATTGTGCTTTGTTGGTATAATGTCTGCTAGAATGTTAAAAATGTTCAGTGTTAAGTAAATATTTTTAAATTGTTGTTTTGTAATTGATTATTTTTTTTTTTTTGGAAAAGCAAGACAAAAAAGTAAAAAGCACATTTTGGCAATTTAATTAATGTAATGGTGAAAAAAATGGCAAAATAGGCCTACTTGGGGGTAAAAAAAGCAAAATTTGGGTATTTAATTTATGCAATGGTGAAAAAAAATAGGCAAAATACATGGGGGAAAAAAAGCGAAAAACCGTGTTCGGTATTTGGCCTTCGGCCCAGTGTTTAATTTTGTTTGGTTTCGGCTTCGGCCAAGAATTTTCATTTCAGTGCATCCCTACTTGCTTTGCCATAAAAAACGTCAAATTTATTGTATTTTTTACAAATTTATTTATGCCTTGATCATGGGGGTCTTGAGCGGTCCTCTCTACAACAACATAGACCAAATTTCTTCAAAAATGTTAAATTCTTTACATTTTTTTAGTTATGTATAAATAAATATATAAACAAATAAAATAAATAATTAATAAATAATAAAACAAATAGTATCACACAATCACAAGCATCTTCATCACTGATAAACGGGTGCTCCACTGGAGACTTGTGTGTGTGTGCATGATGAGACTTTTAGAAATCACAACAGAATAACAACAGAATAACAACAGAATTTGTCATTTCAACAGAATGAAGCAGTTATATTGTTAAACGGCACAAAAGCTTTAAGGCACCGAGTTCACACTTACTGGAGCTTCATCTGGCAGGTAAGGAAGCAGTTCACTGACACTGTGTAAACAATTACAACATAAATACTCTTATCAGTTGGTCCCACAGCTTAGTCTGTGTTTGAGCAGCAGGAAAAGTCTAACAAAAAAGTGAAAGCTTTTATTACATCCCACGCTGTCCCCTCTAACGCTGCCCCCTCTAAGGGACACTTGGCATCTCTTAAGCCCCCAAAACTGCTGACACACATCAAAGTATGCTGGGTAAGTGTTTATGCTTTGGGAATATGCCCACTGTCACTATGTATGCCATGCTGATTGGTCATTTTGAATATCTAGAGAGTGTTTCTGATGTCACATGGCCAAAAATAGGGTAAAAAATATGGGGTTTCTCTTGTCTTTTGACCACTCTCTCCCCTTCTTTTCTCTTGACATCTTATTACATGTGGCTCTTCTAAGACCACATTAACTTTCTGTTCCCAACCTTAATAAGTTAGACATTTTTCCTCCGTTTTAAGGTGCCAAAAATCATAACTTTCTTTTGTCACTTCAGCCCAACAGACATGTCTAAAACGAAGACCACTGTAGTGCAAACAGCCGATGTGTGTGTGTAAATACATATAGCAGCTGACTAACATCAGTTAAAGAAGCAGCAGAAATCTGAGCTAATCCCAATACAGTCTGTCTCTGAGGGTTTATCACTGCTGACTACACACACACACACGGTACAAGGATTTTCATTTTATAATCCATCCTCAACATCCTGTTAATCAATTGCGAAACCAGAGATTATAAAAAAAAAAAACACTACTCCAGCCTTGAAAGGCACAATAAAGTGCAGATTTGTAAGAAGTGTAAAAATAATATAATATAATATAATATGGAATCTGAGAGTGCAAAAAAATCTAAATATTGAGAAAATCGACTTTAAAGTTGTTCAAATGAAGTTCTTAGCAATGCATATAACTAATCAAAAATTAAGTTTTGATATATTTACGGTAGGAAATTTACAAAATATCTTAATGGAACATGATCTTT